GGTGTCCGACCTGCAGCCTGCGGGCCCCCCGTGGCCCAGGGTGGCTGTGAATGTGGCCCAGCATGAACTTGTAAAGGTACTTAAAACCTGATGAGATTTTTGTGTGTGTGTGTGGTTACCTGTCACAATGTATTTATTGCGTGGCCCAGAGACGCCCCTGCAAACGTTTCTAGGCAGGGAAACCTCTTCTCTTACAAAGAGCCTGTCTTGGGCATCTTGCCTTTTCGGACATCCAGGGGGACAGCGTTCACTAAGATGTCTGGAATCCCAGGGTGTGGAAGTCACCTAACGTCATGAGCAAGTCCCCTACCGAGGGGCATGTGGGTGATTTCAAGTAAAACAGTCTTTGGTCACCGATTTTCCTGGGCGGGGGTCGGATAGCACACCTCTGTGGGTTTGGGGTGGGGCGCCAGGGACACAGAGACGGAAGGAGGAGACCCCGGCCCTGGAGGCACGAGCGGCCTCATGGGGGGAAGAGACAAGAAAACCATCGAGGAGTCGTGCGTGGTATCGCGTGAGCCTGAAAGAGAGGCTACGCGTGCCCCGTAATTCCAGAAGGGAGTGAAGTCTCTCCCCTTTTGCAGGTGAGCAAACTGAGGCCCAGCGCCGCCGTGGGAGTCCCCTGCCCGGTCTGTGGAGATGTCTGCGCTCAGGAGCTGGCCCTGAGGCTCCCGAGGGGGCAGTGCCCGTGACCCCACTCTCAGGCCGTGCCCGGGGCTGCGGGGCCTCGCACCGGCCAGGGAACCAGAGCCACGGGGAGGGCTCACGAAACAGGCAGAGAGCCCGGCGTCCCGGAGACCAGACACCTGACTGCGTTTTACCCTTCCACCAGGGTCTTGGCGTCTTTTAGTGGCTAAATTCGTTCATCTGACATTTTTATGGAGCTTTTGTTCCCAGAGAGAATTCCTTCCTTACTCTATCCTCATCAAACGCTCCGTTCTCGGGTCCTACCCGCAGAGGCTGTAGGGCGGAATTCGCTTATCGTACATTTTTGAAATTGGTCGCCAAACAGCCACGAGATAACGAGGCTTTGGAATCCGGCAGCGGAAGCGGCCCCGAGCCTTTGATGGCCAGGTGCGGCCTGGGCTCTGCCCGGGGGCACCCACCTCTGGGGCCCGGCGGCATCGCCCAGCTCCGGGCCCCGCTCCGTTTCTGAAGTCGGTTCCCCTTATCACCGAGGACGGCACGGTGCTGCCGCGGCGGCCTGGGTTGTCACCGATGAGTGCTCACTTCTTCTGAAAATACCTCTCTAAACGCCGCCTGTCTGAAGGAAGACAGCTAGGACCTCTGGATTTAGATGGACCCCAGGCAGAATCCTGGGGCCAGCGCTTAAACGGACTGCGTGGGCTCCAGCCTGCCCCGGAACCTCTCTCCTCCTGTGTCCTTGTCTTTGAAACGGGTCTATGGTCCAGGGGTGTCCAACCCGCGGCCTGGGGCCAGGCACATGGCCCAGGCTGGCTATGAATGTGGCCAAACAGGAAATCGTAAATTCACTGAAAACATGATAAGATTTTTTGGGTGTGATTACATGTCACAATGTATTTGACGGGAGGCCCAAGACCACTCTTCTTCTTCCAGCGTGGCCCAGAGACGCCCGAAGGCTGGGCACGCCTGGTACTCAGCCCTGGCCGGGCTGGCGTAACGCAGAGTCCGTGGCGTGGCGCCGGGTTCAGCGTGAGGGGCTCCGTAAACCTGAGCGATTGTCACCGACGGTCACCGAGCCCGTGGTAGGAATGCCTAACGCCCCCTGCTCTGCCGTTCCTGGACAACAGGCCGGCCCTGGCGGTGGGGAGAGCCTGTAGCATTTGAAGCATCACTGGTGGGGGAAGGAGGCAAGGTCAGGTTTGGACTGGGCCACGGGAGGAAGGTGAAAGGTGAGCAGGATGCAGCGTTTGCAGAGCCCCAGCTCCCCACCCAGGGCGGGGGTGTCCTCATGAGGGCGAGGAAGAGCACACACCCCATCTCTTCCCCGGTCACACCTCTTCCCCGTCACCACGCCCCATGAAGCCGTAAGGACAGTATTCCAGGGTAACCCTGGCCGGGGAGCTCAACACCCCCTTCAGAGGGGGCACATTTATTCCCATTTCCTGGAAAGACGTGGCCGAAGAGAGAAAAGCTCCAGACCACGTGTGCCTGAAATTCACTGAAGACAGCAAAGCTTCTCCCAGGGGCCAGTTTTGGAAGGACAAAGGGGACCTGGGAAACAGGGACAGGGGACGAGCTGCTGACCAGCGGAGACGCATGTCCAGAATTTCTCCACAAACTGGTCTCGTGGCTACAGGCAGACCGAGTCTGCGCTGGGGCCAGAGACCCCGAGTCTGAGTTTGGGGGTGACTGCATGGTGAGCCCTCAGATTTCACTATAAACATGCACAGTCACACGGCGGTGGTGGCGGCCTTGGGGCTGTGGAGAGGACCACGGGAGAGAACGGGAAGCCAGGTGCTCCGAACAGTCTAATACGCGTAACTACTGCTAACTGGGCGCAACCCACCATTCTTTGGCAAACGAAGAGAGGTTCCATGATTTCGACCTCCTGTGCTCAGACGTGAGCCTTGGCCTCCCCCACTCCCGCCCACCCCAATATCTCTGATGGCAGCAGGGCTCTCCTAGGGAGAGGGTAACTCCAGGACACCAGGGAGGGCCCACCATTGTGCATTTAAGTGTCGGAACAATACCCCCATCTCAGGGCAGTGAGTGCACAGCGGGGAAGGTGGGCCTGCTTTGTCTGCATCCGGGTCTCTCCGCCTGGGTTGAAGATTCCACCCTGGGCCTTGGAGGGTTTTCAGAAGCGTCCCTGGCCACCACCACTTAGATGCCAGGAGCAAGACCCCCAAGCTGCCACACCCAAAAGCGTCTCCAGAGATTGCTGCCCGGAGCGGGTAGGATCAGCAAAAGCACTGCCAGCCGAGAACCACTTGTGTCCATGGAAGAAAACAGGGGAGAGGAACTGGGGTGGGTGGGGTCTGTCGTGGGTATTTTGTAACTGCAGAAAGGTTTTTTTTTAAAAAGATTTTATTTATGTATTTTTAGAAGGGGAGGGAGGGAGGAAGAGAGACATCAGTGTGAGAGAGATTTCAGAGGGTGTTCACAGCAGAAAAGGCAGCTGCCAGCCATCACAGAGCACGAGTGTGGCTCCCCTCACCTCGCTGGCAGGAGGACTGTCACCTGCACAGCTGTCTTGTTGAGGGAGCTGGGAGACGGGACAAAAGGCTTGCCCCGGATCAATAGCTAATGCCCCCTAATATCCCAAGTGTGCACCCGCATCCTCTGCCGGCGACCAGGGCCTGCCCAGCAGGGGAAACCAGTGGTACAAAGCTCTCTCCCCCAAAGAAGGTGGTTTTATTAACAACATATCCCCAATCTGCATGTCAACCAGAGGCTGCTGCCTCTCAACAAAGCACACGCACAGGCCTTCTCAGTGTCTGTCCGCAGCCTTGAATCCAGATCCTGTTTCATTTCCAAAAGCCCAGGTAGGAGCCCGCAACACAACCCGTCAGGCCTGGGGATGTTTCCTGGCCTTGTCTGTCGCCATTCTGCTGCCGCAGGGAGGCGAAGCTACATCGCCGAGGAAATGTCAACGAGAACCTTGCTTCGGCCGTCGGCATTTCCGACCAGTGAAAACGCAAAGGGGGAACCGACTGTAACATCACTGCGCGCCAGACCGAGGCTCAGCTCCGGTCCTTGGGGGAGAACAACAGGGGAAAACACGGTCTGGGAACTTCCCAGAGTTGAGGATGATGCCAGAAATTTCGAGGCCACGCCCTTTCCTCCTCCTGCCCCGCCTCCCCCACCCTGAGACCTGCCTTCACCCAACACCACGGTCAACTACACTAACCAGGGGCTGCTGTGCAGGCGGCGGCGACATCCCCAAATAAAAACTTGAAAGGGGGAAGCCGGAGCCACCGACGCGTACCACAGGCCAGGCTTTGGACTCCCCTGCGGTCGCCCCCCAGCCCAGATTCAAGCAGACGCCTGTCACCCTCTGGGCTGTCGCTGCTCTCCAAGGACAGCTCGGCCGGGAAGTGTGCTGGAAGTGGCGTGGTCTGGCCATTCCCCGAGTTCTCTCCTCCGGGAGGCGAAGAGTTCAAACCCCAGGAAAGCAGGAGGCCCCACCGCTTGATAACGCCCCGCAGCCGGGAGTAGGTGTAGCCTGCCAACAGCCAACAAAAGCGGCTCTCAAGCAGCAAACAGTTAACACCGGCAGCCTGTCAACACCAATTAGCAAGCCCTACCAGCAGAAGCCTATTAAGACAGTGCTCAAATCCAGCTCCACACTCTGCGCCAGCAGAAACTGTCATCCCCCGAGCCATTCCCCAAGGAGGTGACCCTTAATGGGAACTCACAACAAACACAGCCCGTGGGCCCCCTGTGCTCTCCGCCGCCCAGGCTGGGCAGCATCACGACTCTCCCGGATCCTAGGCGCTTTTGCTGTCCTGGACTCCTTCCTCTATAATAATAATAATATTAAAATTTACTTTTCTAATGTAACTTTAGATAGTTTTATTTCCTTAATGTTTTAGGCAAATTTTAGTAGGTTTGTAGAGGCCTAGAAATGAAAACATTTCCTTCGGAATTTTTTTCTTTTAAGTTTTAAGGGAAACATGACGTGTCCCCGGGCTCCCGAGAGCTGTCACAGGCCCTCGGCGCGGTGCCGCTGTCTCGGGAAGCCAGCCGTGCGTGGTTCGGTAGGAACTCGAAACTTGTAAAAACACCGTCCCCCACGGCCCATACATCCAAACACAGCGCTGGCCTCTTTTTAAAAAGTCCACTCAATTGATAAAATTGCTGACATAATACGCCTGGAACTTAGATATTTCAGCTTGTCACATAAGAGTTATTCCTTACACAGGCACACCAAGAGGCTTAAAAAAAACAACCAAGTCACCACGCAATATAGATTTTCTTCAATATTTTATTTATATAGAAATACTTAAAAAATGAAGTAGCACCATTACTTAAGTTTTACCTTTATTATGTAGAACTTTAAATGTCAGAAAAATAAAACTCTTGATACAATTTCAAATCTTGTCTCAGCAAATATAATATTAGTATTTGACCATGAGGTTAAAGGCCCTTTATCATAAAATAAAATATACTTTGTTTTTTTAAACTTTGCTCAGTAAAGTACATTTAAGCTCAAGTAACGCCACCTACATATACATAAACGAGTGGTAAACAAACGTATTAAAATAGAAATACTAAAACTAGAGTGGTGCAACAGAACTGTTGTAACTTGCACTGAATTCTATTTATACAAATGTTCGAAAGCATCGACAGTCCCTTTTGACGTGTGTATACATTTCTGGTTTTTTCTTTTTTCTTGTAATAATATAGAATAAAATATGCTTTATATCGCTGAATAGAAAATATGCTGGGTGAAGCAGATCTCGGAAGATTTGTCTGAACCTATAAAATCTCCATCCCAACAGAATACTGTTTAAAACATTACACATTTTTATGGTTTGTAATTCTGCCACAATTGTGTGATTATTAAAATAATACAGTGTTCTTTGCCGTAAGGCCATACTAAAATAAAAAAGATTTAACCCAGCTACAAAAAAGTTCACTGAACTTAAATTAAAATACTTGTAAACATCTTTGCAATATGAAATATAATTTTTCAAGTCAAAAAAGAATAAAATACTTCAATCTGTATTAATGAAATTTCTCTTTAAAACTTTTAAACGTTTTTAATATATAAGAGATATGTTACAGTTTCTTTAACTTTAATAAAGCTGCAGTATCCTGGTTTCTCAGGAACTCCGGGCCCTTCCACGGACATTCAGAAAGGACCCACTGTGTTCTAGAAGCATCCTAGGAACCCAGCCACAGAGGGGAACACACTAAACCAGCCCACACACCCCATAGCACTGTGTTATCATCTTCATCATCACTGCTGTCCATCTCTCTCCTACGTTCGGGAAATGGAAAACTTGTGGGGTTTTCTTCTTCTGGAAGCTTCCTATTAAGTACAGTGTAAAAACTATCGTTACTAGAGGGTCGCCGTTCCTATTATTTATAAAGCATGCATTTCAGGTGGTTCGGAGGTCTCCCAGGCTACAGTGCTCTTGACGCAGTTATCCTGGCAAGTTCCTTTGTTTCAACATTGAATTTTAAAACTGAGCGGATACTACAGCTTCCCAAGCTCCTCTGGGATCTCAAGAGTGCCAGCAGGGCGAGGGTAAGGTCGGGCACCAAGGAGGCCGGCCGGCGCCGGGGAGTGAGGGAGCGAGGAAGGGTCCCCCTTCTCGGCGCGGGGCGCGCGCAGGCGCGCTGCCCTCAGGAAAAGATGCGGATGGCCTGCGTGACTGCGGTGTGGCAGACCGGGCACTCGGGCTCGCTCTTCTCACAGATGCGGTTGGCGCACTCCATGCAGAACAGGTTGTGACCACAGGGCACCAGTGCGGCGATCACCTCGCTCTCGAAGCACACGGAGCAGTCGCGGCTGCCCTTGCGCCGCAACCCAGAGGAGGAGGACGAGGAGCTGGAAGAAGAGCTGGACGACGAGGAGGAGCCGGAAGTGTCGGACGGCTGCAGGCCGGGCAGCTGCGCCCCTATTCCGTTGGCATAGGCGGCGTAGGCCAGGCCCCCTCCGCCGGGGTCGCTGCGCACCCTGCGAGCCAGGTGGTGCTCGCCCGTGCCTGGGGCCATGTGCAAGGGTGGGGACAAGCGTGGGCAGCTGGTGCCCGGGTGCAGCCGGCGGTGCACCAACAGCCCCAGGTTGGCGTTGGAGGGCGCGCTGGCGCCGCCCCCGGGAAAGACCACGGAAGAGGATGAAGCTGATGAAGATGCGGAGGAAGAGCAGGAAGAAGACACGGGCGCTGCGGGGCCGCCTCCCGGGGACCGCTCGAACTGGGCCCAGAGCAGGGGCGCCCCAGGCGGCGGGGCGGGAGCCGGGTCGAAGGTGGGCTGGAGCTCCGGACAGCCGTCGGGGGAAGGCACGGAAGCCTCCCCCGCAGTGTAGGCGTATCCATTGCCGTTGTTGTTGTTGCCGTTGTGGGCAAAGCTGAGCGCGGGGCTCGGGGGGCTGTAGTCGGCCAAGCGCGGGGTGGCGGCCGCGCTGCCGCCGGTCCCCCCGCCGAAGTAAGAGTCGGTGGAGGCGCTGCCGAGAGAGCTGGAGCTGTCGTTGCGGTAGCTGGAGAAGGGCTTGCGGCCTGGGGTGGGCGTGATGCTGGGGGTGGGCTTGCTCCACAGGCTGCCTGGGCCGGACCCGCCAGACCCATGCAGCAGGTCGAAGCCCACATCCGTGCCGTTGGCGTGGAAGTCGTTCTCGTCGGTGAGCTCGATGATGCCGCCCGTGCGCAGGGCGATGTGCGCCTCGATCTCCTCCCGGGCGCGGTCCACGTTCTCGGGCATGCCCGTCACCTCGAACACTGGCTCCTTGTCGCGGCTGGGCGTGACGATGTACGTGTGCGTCTGCTGCTGGATGCGCTTGATCGTGGCGCCTTTGGGCCCCACCACGAGTCCCACCACGCGGTAGGGCACCCGTACCTGGATGGTGGTCTGCCCGGGCAGGTTGGGCGGGCCCGGCACCGCGCCGTTGAGCGCCGTGTTCTTATTCCGCGAGGCGCGGATCATGGAGAAGTGCTCCGCGGCAGAGATAATCTCCCTCCGAGCCATGGCCACATCCTCCTTCCTGCCCGTCACAACAAAGACAGGCTCCTCCCCGCGAACCGGGGTCTTGATGTAAGTGTTGGTCTTCGCCCGCAGCGCTTTAATTTTACAACCTGGGAGCCAGGACACAGCGGAGGGAGTGGGAGAAAAAGAGACACACCCATTACCCCGGGATAAGCGAGGAGACTCGGGACGGCCCGTGTCCAGGGCAGCTGAACGGCAGGGCACTCGAGGGTCGGAAGGGGGGCGGCTCCCACCTTGACCCCGTCCCGGGAGGGAAGCGGGTTCCACCCGCAAAACGCTCGAGGAACAGCCCCCTCGCTGCCCAGCCCTTCCCCGGGGACTGCAGTCGTCCGGAACCAAACCCCAGAATCCCAGAAAAAGTCAGCCGGGGAGACGCCTCTAAAATCCTGCGGGACGCGCCGTCCGCCCTGAAGACGCGGCGAAGGGGTTCTGGGAAGGCAGTCGGGGCTGCAGTCCCCCAGCGCTGGGGGACCGCTGGGAAGGGGGGCAGTCCCGGGACCCATTGTTCCTCCTCTGGGCTCCATTATGCTTTGCAGAAATCCAGAATCCTCCTCCATCCGATGCTCACTCCTCCTCCTCCCCCCTCCCAACGGACCGATCAAAGGCCCCCTCCCCCAAGCATCTCCTGTTTAAACGATATTTCCCGGGGTAGGTCGGGTGGGGGGCGCCAGGGGAGAGGGCAGTGGTTTCTGCAGGAGAAGTGCATCCCGCCGTGGCTGCAGCGTGCGGCTGGGAAGCAGCCTGCCTGCACTTTCTTTGTCTGGGGCGCCAGCCCTTCGCGCGGCTCTTCCTCCCTCCCCAAAGCTCCCGGCTCCCGATCCCTTTCGCGCCCTCCCCACGGGGCGGAGGCCGGAGACCCGCGTTGCTCCAGCTCCCCATCCTTGCCGGACCCACCTTGCCGCCCCACGATCTCGGCAACATGCTCCGAACTGGGCACCGGCACGCACTCGGTCATGTTCACGCTCTTCTTGCGCGGTTCGCTGTCGTACAGAGAGGTGCCCTCATCACTGTCCAGCCCCAGGAGGGAGAGCTGGTCCAAAGCGAGCTGCAGGGCTCTTTGGTCGTCCAGGGTTTCTCCCCCGCCGCCGCCGCCGCCGCCTCCAACCCCGCCGCCGCCGCCTCCCCCTCCGCTGCCGTTGCGCTCCAGGTCTGCAAACAGCGAGCTGGGCATCGTTCTGCCGTGCGCGCCGCGCCCCCGCCGGCCCTCGGTTCAGAAGCTTCAGCCACAAAGGCAGCCGGGAAGCGAGCGGTCAGGGGCGGGGAGGCCGGCCGGCTGCAGAGGGTTCCGTGGCTCCTTTCTTGGCACCGGAAGGAGTGGGTCGCTCCGCGCGGTCTGCGCCGGGCAGTGGCTGCGGGAGCCCCCGCCTGGGTCCCCACCCCAGGTCTGCTGGCGGGTGGGGCGGGGGCAGAACTCGAGTGGCAGCCGTGCGCGCCCCCCGAGTGCCCGGCTGGCTGGCCACAATGCCGAGAGAGAAGCGAGCAGGCGAGCGACAGCAGCGTTTCTTTAAGGAGCCCCTCCCCGGCTCCTCCACTCCCTCCCTCCCGCCCTCAATCAGCGCTTTTTCCTTCTCTGCTCCCCGCCTCTTGACTGAGCCTCTGCAGCCAGACGGCTCTGGAGGGGGACGAGGGAGGCGCAACGTCACCGGCGGGAGCTGACACTACAATGCTACTGACACTATCGCTGGGGGAGGCGATTGGCGCGCGCAGGGCTGGGGGCGGGCGGAGGCCGCGGAGTGAGCGAGCGGAGCGCGAGCGCCCCCAACTCGCCGCAGCCCGCGCGTCCTCCTGCCGGCCGCGCCCCGCCCCCGCTGCCGCTAACGCCTCTCTTTGTTGTCTAATGCGGGACCTGCAGCCTTGGGACACTTGCATGTACCTATCAACCAGGGACAATCACTGTCCCCAGGTCTCCTCTTCCTCCTGACCGTGAAAAGAAAACGCGTGCAACTCAACTCTGATGTCCAGCTCTAAGATAGAGGTCCTTAGAAAGTCCCGTTAGTGTCGTCCAAATAAACCACCCCTAGACCAAAGGTGCAACTGCAAGAAAGGTCTGTTGTGTGCCCAAAAGGGTGGTTCCGAGCCCTCGAACACGGAAAACATGACTCGAGGTGCCGATGCACACAGGCAAAGTATCTCCGAGTGCGGGCGGCCCACCTGCGCGAGAGCGCATAAGACACAAAGGCATCTACTCGGCCGCATCACCACTCGCGCGCACGCGCCCGCAATTCCGTATTCTTGGGCAGCACTTCCTCCAGCTGGCTCTGAAATTGCGGCTCAGAAAGCCAGAATCCGACTGCAGCTAGGGCTTGGCCGGCCCAGCCTTCAGCAACCTCTGGAAGGCACCATGCCTAGGTCCTGCACCAGCCCCGCGCCCAAACCCCGCGTGCCTGAGGCGCGCACGGGCGCCGCCACCAAGGGAACGCCGGCCATAGCGCCAGCCGGAGACGCGGGGTGCGCGCTCGGTCTTCCGTCCCTCCCCGCCCTACGGTCGGGCATGCGCAATAGTCACAAGGAATGGGGGGGGGTCCTTTAAGGCGGGGACGGCAGAGCGCACCACACTTGCGGGCGGCCCCGCCCAGACGGGAGGTGTGAGCTCGCTGCGCACCGCTTTGTGCACTTCTCGAGTGGGGGCGGCGGCTGAGAGGGTGCGACGGGACAAGCGGACAGGGACAGCTAGCTGCGCCCCCTCCCGGATGTCCCAGGGGCCGCTCCTAGAGACAGTGAAAAGAAAGGAGGCTTTGAGGGGCGGGCTGGGCCAGGACCAGCGTGCCGCTGGGTCCCTTCTCTGCTGGGTCCCCATCCGCACCGGCGTGAGCCCTCTCGAGCCCGCGCGGGATCCGCTCCTTTGTTCTGGCGCCACCGAGCTCGCTGCGCCCCCTGCGCCCGGTCTGGGGACGTTCCACAGAGCGGCCGGGGCGCGGTTCACCGAGATGGCTAACATCCGAGCTGCCAGACGCCTACCGAAGACAATGAAGCCATGTGGCCGCTGCAGCGATGAGCTTACTCGGAAGACCGGTTGTGCCGCAGGGCAGTCACAGGGCCCAGAGGCCCCAAGCGCGCCCTGCTGGACCACCGGAGGAGTGAGCAAGCGCCCCCAGGGGAAATCATACCTCTCGATCGAGAACTACAAGCGACAGTAAATGAGAGCGTCCGTTGTCATCGGTGGACAGTTATGCCGATGCCTTTACTCGGGGGAACACAAAGGTGTTCTCCTCCGCACTGGCTCACCTGGAGCTGTCTCGGGGAAGAGGTGCTGATTATTCCCTTAGGGAAAGGCAGCTCAGGAGCCACTGCAAGTGGCTATTTCCTCAGGATGCTTATGACACCTTCCAGGAGCCTGGGGTGCTTTTTTCTTCAAAAGGAATGCTTGATGCGGGGGCGGGGGGGGGGATGGGGTGTGAAGTCCTCCCAGAGAGCCACTACCTAGATCTCCAGCAGAGAGCCTTTGTGTGTTTTTTGACCCGGCCTCTGGGCTCAAATCCAGCTAATCTGAGAATGAGGGAGTGCCCTTGAGGGCTCCTGCGGGGCAGGAGGGGCCCTGGCTGGGGAAGGCCGCAGGGGAGGCCCAGCTTTCAGCGCCTCGCCTCTCGCCCTCCTCTCGCCCTCCGCGCCCTCCGCTCCGCTCCTGCGGGGCCTGCAAACACCAAGGTCGACAGGAAAAGCTCCCCAAAGGCCTCGGCATTTGCATCTTGCCAGCCCAACCAGTCACTTCCTGGCCTCTGCTTCTAGGAATCTGATCGTCTCCCACTGAGCCCGCCGACATTTCCCTTTCCATATAACACGATGCAGGTGGCCCTTCCTTGGTAAAGGAAGCGCCCCCCCCGCCCCGCCCCGCCCCCCCCCTGGGCTGCCTGTGCTGCCCGTCCTGCCTCCCTCCTCCCCGCAGTGGTGAGATTTCACGGGGGGGGGGCTAACTCAGAAACTAGGACGCCAGGAATTCCCGGAGAGCTGTGGGTCTTGAGGTGGCCCGGACACTGACCCGGCCCAGGTCAGCCTCCCCGGCCCAGAATGCTTCAGGAAAAGCTACACAAAGGTCAGCAGGGCTTCCCGCGGACAGCCGCCCACCAAGGCAAGGCCGGCCGGAGAGTGCGGAGGGGGAGGGCACTGCGGAGGGAGCCGCCGCGGCTCTGACAGACCTGGGCCCCCTCCTCGGCGAGTGTCCCCTGTGAGTGTGCGTGAGTGCTTTGCCCAGAGTCACTCGTCATCTTTGCTCGGGGGCAGTACTGACCGATGCATGAATGCAATGATAAAACTAACAATCTGGACGTTTTAATTCTCGATTCACAGCTTTACCAAGACAACAGGCACCATCGAACTTGCGAAGCCCAGTTCTGTTTTTAAACGGATAATACACCCAACCCCACAGTTTCTGGCTGGACTTTCCCAGGCTCCTTAAAGACCCCAGAGCTTAACTGCTTTTCCTGGTCCAGGGCGTGCTCCCCAAGGACGTCCCCAGTATGGCCATATATTTTTTTTATTAGCATGTGAGAGGCGCTTGCAGAGTGCGGTCTGGTAATTGAGAACTTCAGTTGCCATAAAGTAAGAAAAGGTAAAAAAGTCACACAAAAACAGCTAAGATTAATGAGACCACCTTGCACTAGTTTCCAGAGGCCTCGAGCTGTTTTGCACACATCTTGCTTACTTTTGCAAATTAAGGAGCTGGGAAAAGAAACAAATTCTCCGGAAAAAAAAAAAAAAAAACGAGTCTGTCCCCTCCCAGTGAACCCTTTTAACATCACAGAGCACCTCCCACCGCGCTGCAAGCCCAGAGGGAAGGGCTTGGCCCTGGCCCCGCCCACTTCGGTGCCAGGGGCGCCTGCCCAGACACTGGGGTCCTGGGAGGGTTTTCCAGAAGCGGACGTGCTAGCAGAAGGCACTCGACGCTCACTACGTTTCTAAGGGCCCAGTGCAGTATTGTCACTCGTCTGTCACACAGCGGAGATCCGGAAGGCGTTTGCTTTGTGTGACTGAAACTTGACGCTAACTGAACAACAAGTTCCCACTTTCCTCCCCGCCCCCGCCCTGTCCCCGGGAACCGCCGTTGTAGCCTCTGCTGCCGCGAGCGGGCCTAGTTCAGATTCCTGACCCAAGGCGGGTCGGGCCGTGTTTGTTCTTCTGCGATTTCACGCGGCTCGGTGTCCTCTGGGCTCATCCGTGTTGTCAAAAGGGTCAGGGTTTCCTTTTTTAGGGCTGAGTAATATTCCACGTTGTCCATACACCGCATCTCCTTCATCCATTCCCGTCTGCGGACGTCGGGGCCGTTTCCGGATCCTGGCCGCTGTGAATGATGCTGCAGGCGGCACGGGAGTGCGGAGCGCTCCTCGTGAACGTGACCCTGCGTACTGTGGTTCCGTTTTCCTAGTTTTACTTTCTGAGGAAGCCCCACAGTCGCTCTCCACAGCAGCTGCACCTTCCAGCACTTCCCCAACAGGGTACAGACGAGGGCCCCGACCTCCCCACGTACTTGCCGACACTTCCGCTGAGTGTTCTTCTGTAACACTCGCCCCCCAGGTGTGCAGGGACACTCCCCCCTCCGTGCTCCCAACGTGCGTATGCCTGGCGGTGAGCGACACCGAGCATCTCGTGCCCACGCAGCCCTTGTCCATCCGCGTGTCTTCTTTGGAGAAGGGTCTATCCCGTGCATTTGCCCACTTTAAAATTCTGGCCTTGGCCATGACACCACAGATGGGACCCCAAAAGCACTCTCAGCAAAACCAGAAACAAACCAGTGGAACGGCATGGAGGTGGAGGCGTCTGCCCGGCAAAGGAGGCCGTCAAGAGAATGGAAAAGGCAACCCACGGGGTGGAAGGAAGTACCCGAGAACCACGTATCCGGTAAGAAATGAGTATCCAGGACGTAGCGGGGAGTACTGCAGCTCAGCAGCAAAACCTCTAACACCGTCACCTGACTGGGGGACGGCCAGAGACCTACATAAAACACGTGTCCCTCGTAATCATCCTGCCAGGTGGATTTCAGAATTACACACGCGCGCACGCACACACACACATACACAGTGTCCCTAACATGTGCTCACACAGTGTCCCTAATATATGCTCACACACCAGTGTCCCTAACATGTGCTCACATACCACACACACACACACACTGTGTCCCTAACATGTGCTCACATACCACACACACATCTAAATGACTCAGAGTCATGAGTCAAGGGACCGACAGCTGAGGAGACTGCATCCTAACCTCCTACCTAGACTAGTGGTGTTCCGTAACGACCCGGAAGGCCAAGGTTAGAATACGGAACTCTCAGCCTCCTTGGGGCTCCGCCCTGGACCCCAGTCATACGGGGAGAGGTGGCCTGGGGCCACGACCCGTGACTCCCACCCTTACTGCCCCCCCCCAGGCTCCCACACCGCAAGGGCGCCTCGAGCAGGAGTTTGTAGACGCCCGGCTCCGTGTGCCCCCTGCCCCCTGCGC